CGTTATTTTGTACTGATAAAGCATAGAATGTATTCTTAATTATTATTAATTGTGAGTCGTCAAAGTACCTTTCACGTAAATGTGAGACTTCCATGAACATCACCGGTATTATTTAGAAGGATATATTTCAAAGAAATTACTGAATAAACTTTGTTCCCTTTACACTGCGAAAGTATAAAAATACTTCAAGAAGAGCGATTACAAAAAAGCCGTATATAACAAAAAGGCGATAGCGTGAGAAGCATCGAAAAGAAATCAGAGCCTCGTGCACTCGATCATCGTCTCACCTTCATAAAATATTCGCCTGTGCATGAATTCTAGCGAGGCTTTGCTTTATCCTAGATGCATCTTTTGGCGATATATTCCCAAATGGCCTGAGCGCCGGAGTTAAACTTCAGGCCGCGGATGAAAAGCTCGCAGAGAGATCAGAGGCGAAAAAGTAAAAGGGTGAAGGGTGGCGTAAGTTGGAGGAGGAGAACTTTCAAGGCTTTCTTCGAGGTTAGCAAGAAGCAGTGATTGAAATGCTGTATAATCCTAGTATTTATGTGTACGAGCTTTCATGCGAATAGGCATTTGGACGTGTTTATGCACGCTCGTGTGCGGCTATCTGTGGATATAGTCGTATCACTAGGATTTTTTCTTTCATGCATAGATAAATATTTTCATGATAATTATATTCATGATTAGCAAACATCAAATACGAAAGAAATTAAAACATTCATTTACAAAATTTAGCAAATCTGAAATTATACAAACACCCGTTACTTAGTACGATATTCTAATATCTATAATGTAAACTTACACACACACACACACGCGCGCGCGCGCATATCTTCGATATTAAAAATATATTATGATCAAGATTTTCGTTACTTACAGTTAAGAAATAAGAATTTCCGGTATTTGTAGGAAAAACATTTATTTCATTGGTTAATTTGATAATTATATACTAATTAACGTATGTACACGAATCATTTATTAAAGAAATAAATACAATTATTATTAATAATATTATTTTATTAAAAGAACATGTAAATGCAAAATTATAAAAAAACATGAAATAAGTTTTTTCATTATGGTAACTGTAAAATATTTTTAATTAATATTTACGAAATTTTATTTTTAATGAATTATATATAATTTAAAGTATGATTAAAATAATTATATATTAACTTAAAAATCTAAACAATTATGTATAAATGTATGAAAAGTATTAGCGTGACAAATTAGAATTTTATTATAATAAAAACAGTTTATATATATATATATATATATATATATATATATATATATATATATATATTTGTGCGCGCGCGTGTGTGTGTGTGTGTATGCGTGTAATGAATATATGAAGTTTAATGTACTAAATGCATATATTTATTTGAGTTCATTCTTGCGCATGAATAACAAAGAAGTGCAGTTTGTAAAGGTTCTACATGCAATAAAAAGGAGTCAGTGAATGTTAAAGTGAGAAAGAAAATTGTAAAAGCAACAGAGAAAGAGAAAGAACGGAAGTGTCTATGGATCATTCAAAGAAATTGAGGGTTGGATAAAAAATGAAATACTAAAGACTATGAAGTAAAATCGCATATACTTTATATTGATTTTGTCAAATTAAAGTTTGTGATTTAAATTTAGTAAAATAAAAAATTTTTCCATAATTTATTTTCTATTCTTTCCATACTTTTAAACGCTCAAGATTTTAATGATAATTTCTTTTATTTATATCTTTTTTATAATAATTTAGAATACACATGTTTTTTTTATAAAATATGTATAATTATAATTATAATTTACTTCAAATTGACGCTTACTATGTAATAGAAAATTAATTTTCAATGAAAAAAAAAAAAAAAAAGAAAAGAACGGTAATAGAAAGTTATTTAAACGACTTGTCTAGAATTATGAACTTGAATTTTTCTCTGGAAAGTGAAAAGAGAAAATATACGCATTTTTTCTGCACGCCTAGTAGAAGAGGGCGATAACGACATCGCGATATACAACAGACTGGAGAAAGAGAGAAAAAAAGGCTGCAAAATAAAGACGGAGCGACAATGACAGGCGGGGGAGAAGGGCCTGCGCATATAAAAGGCAGTAGGATGCGAAACGCGTTATGTACTCGCGCATTGTCATGTTCTCGTATTTTTCTTTCTCCCTCGTGGTCGACGTGCGCACAGCAGTTGCGCAGTTTTACACTCACTATTCGGCCACCCTTCAACGCGCATTATCGCTTCCACCGGCGTATAATAGCTAAAGCTCACGAGACAAGCTCGTGATTTGATGATCGACCAAAGAGGATTGCGAGGTAATTGTTAAAGAAAGCTCTCACGATGATTTACGATTATCTTTACTTTCCCAGTTTTATTCTCTTAATCTGTTAAAAAGTAGTTTTAGTTGAGGAGTAACTTTAGATATTAATTTCTTACTAATGATGATGGAGATAAGTTGAAAGCTCATGACATTGTGAGGAGCACACATTGCAATTGAAACTATTTAAAACGTTGATGTTATTTATCCACGTTGATTGTATTTACCAATAATTTATGACGAATAAATTATAAATCATTAGCCCTATATAAAGAGTTGATTAATTTATATATCAATGCATTTATCGAATTTAGATTTATCTCGTCAAACTGTCTCATTGACGTCTAATATATAAATTATAGACATTAACCATACATTATTTACTTATTAAATTATATCAAATTCAATAGTGTGAAATAGCATATTTTATATTTTTCTATACTAAATATAGAATTCGTCTTATAAGCTCATGTTCGATGATTAGATGCATATCAATCTGCGAAACAACAACAAAAAAAAACAAAAACAAAACCAAAAAAAAACAAAAAAAAAACAAAAAAAAACAAAGAAAACAAAGAAAATACATAAAAAAGAAAAATAACAGATCCTTCGCACCTCAAAACAAGGCTTTACGAGAAATATCTTCGACTTGAAAATAATTTCTTTCTCTTCATTTTTTATCTCTATCTTTCTATTTTTTTTTTCATTTCTTTGTTCAGCTATACTTAGCCCTTGGAATTCCTTTATTTCTTTCTATATGTATTATACATCCTTACGCCTAACAAGGAATGTATCTAAAAATGCAATGACGGTCATATGTCTTATACTTATGGAAACTGAAAACCTTTTATTGACTGTTAGATAACTAAATTTAATAATTTAGATTCTTCAAAGTTACAAATCATATAATACTAACTTTATTGTATAAGTAAAATAATTTATATTTATATTTTAAAGGTTTAGGTATATTAGAAAAAAATTTCAAATATTTCTTTGTAAAAAAACAACACAATAGAAATGAAATCAGGAAATAAAATTAAAGGAAACTTTTTAAAAACTTACATGTTAAATTTTCTTTTTAATTGTCTCATAACAAATATTATCATTTAAAGAAATTCATAGAAAAAAACAAATGATTTTTTTTTACTTAAATTGTATTTTGTTATAAATTGTAAAAATACGATAATCGTTTGGAAAATTTTAATATTGTTAAGTTAATATACTCTACTATAAAGAATTATATTTATTCATATAAAAATTTCTTTACTTACCTTCTTTTTCACAATGTATTAATATGAAAATACAAAAAAATTATATATAGTGAATAGGAAGGATATGGATCCGAGATAATAAATGGGTTAAAATAAAATTCACGGCTTTTAAGCACCAATAAATATTATTTTCTATTTTTCATTAATAATTAAAAAAAAAACAAAAAAAAAAAACAATTATTTCGACTTTCATCCGTCACGGTTTTATTATGTCTTTACTTATTTTACTGTTAGGAACCTGTACGAATTGAAAAATCGGAAGTGTAAAACGCACATTAACACTTTTTAGTTTTGTAATTACAGCTATCAATTTCGCCCAGTATAATCAGGTGGATATTACTGGTATTACTATTGTTTGTACCTATCTATATACATGTATATATATGTACATGTGCATGTACATATACATGAATATAAATATATATATATATATATATATATATATATATATATATATATATATCTATTGAAGATTTATGTGCAAAAGTTCTTTAATCTTTTTCTGTTACAAGAAATAAAAGTTGATAATCAAGTACTGGAGAAAATATCAGCTATATTTTAAATTTGTTCAATATAATGGTAAATCGCTTTCAATTTTGCATTAAAATAAAATTGTTTATATCTGAAATTGAAGTTATGAAAATAATGGTTTGTTTATATATGAGTTGAAAAATTGTAAAAGATCGTTTATCTTATATGCATCACAAAATTAAAAGCGTTTCATCGTTCCAATTATATGTAGTGAAGGCTCAAAGAAAAAGTCTACTTTTCTTTTAAAAATTTAAGTTATACTAATAGTAGCCTTACATATAGTATAGTTTGTTACGTTATTCAAAGAAAACGAACATACTGAAAGATATTTATATTTTAATAATTGCAGCGATGGGAACTTTAGAACGATTGCAACGATTTTCACAACGATTGCAAATTATTTTTTCATTGCTAAAAATAAGCTATTTAATAATTAATATGTTCACAAAATCTATCTATATAATAACCTCGGGTCGGCAATTAAATTTAAGATCTTTTGCCTCCCGTGCCTACATACATATTACAAAGAAATGAAAAGTAGATAATTTATATTTTTATTATTCACCAGCACTTCTCTCTTAGATACACGAATCTATCTATATATATATACATACACAGATCTCATTACTAAATTGAAAAGTCAAGGTATCGTCACATGTTAATTCGCTCATGATAATAAACGAAAGACACCACTAGTTAAAATCGCACACTATTGCGCACTTTCATTTAGACATTCACCATAATTAACCATCGACTATAATCCTAAAACTTATTGAAAATATAGTCCTTCGATATCACTGACTTAATGTACCTAAAATGCCTGGGCGGCCAATACACGACTGAATTGCGACAAATTCGTCACATTAATTTAACTTAGTCGACGAGGGTGCGTTATTGCGTGGAGGTTACGACGGCTTGTGAATTAGGCGGCGGCGGTGGCGGTGGTGGAGGTTGCGGATGCACTTGGTGAGCCATCAACCCGTGAGCAGCCGCAGCGGCGGCGGCCGCTTGTACATGGGCTTGATGGTGGTGATGATGGTGGTGGTGAGAATAAAAGATGGGTTGAGCGGTCGTTGGATTGCAACTGGAGCCAACTACGGCCACTGGATGGGGTAGCCCTGAGGCTGAACTGACCGAGGGTGTTTGCGGAGGTTGTGGGCCAACGGAGGAGCCGATGGTGCCGCTCGAGGGGACGACATTGCCGACAGACGCCTCGTGATAAAGGATGGGCACACGCACTAGTCGCTGGGCATGTACGATACTATTGGTCTCCAATTCCGCTGCCAATTGACGTTTCCACTTATTACGACGATTTTGAAACCATATTTTAACCTGCTTGTACAAAGCAAACGGATAAATTCTTTATATCGTTTTTACAATTTGGTGAGATTAATTGTCTAGAGTGAATTAATTGTAATAATTCTCTCTAGTCAAAGCAAGATATAGATGCATCGATGCTTCTATTCAAAATCGTATCAATTGAACAGAATTATCGTTTGTCTTTTATCATTTTTATTCTCCAAATATCATCAATTTTGAAGCATTATGTAATTGAATACATATACATGTATTGGCATGCATATGCTTTAGAAGAATGTACTATTACGTATACATATATAAGTCGATAAAAGCAACTAAAAGACGATTAATAAATTAATTTTGAATGGTTTAATAGTAACGTTAGCATAAATAACAATTTTCTTAAAAAGGGAAAATACTTTATAATGAAAATGTAGTGTGTGGAAAATATGAAAACCTCACCTGAGTCTCCGTCAATCTCAGCGATGTGGCAAGGGCGGCCCTTTCAGAGGAGGATAAATAGCGTTTCATGTCGAAGGTGCTTTCAAGCTGAAAAACTTGAGTGCGCGAGAAGACAGTGCGCGTCTTTTTCTTGCGTTTAATGCTGCTCGAGTCGCGGCTGTCGACGCCCACTTGGACGGACTGGCCACTGCCGCTACTACCTCCGTGATGACCACCTGACCTGGAGGGGTTATCCCCGTCTTGATCGTTATCCGGGCCGTCGTCGACGTCGCCTAGGCCGTCGTGCGAGGCCTCGTCGCCGCTTAAGGGACTACGGGAGCGACGCACACGGTCTTCGGTGGTTGTATCGTCGTCAAGGTCTTCTAGAACAAATTTACATAATAATGTTCATTATTACTCTCATATTGTTATATATTATTTGGATTATTAGTTATATAGTTTAAATAATTTTAGTTGATAGTTTGCGTTGCTGAATTCACACTACCAACGGGATCTAGATTCGAACAAATTAATAGCAATTGTACAAGTGGCTTTTGGTAAATTAGAAATTACTTTCTACATAATCATATTGGGCATCGTTTGATCGATAATTGTACTTTTGTTTTCATTGGAAGCATCGATAAATTTATAATGTCTCTTATATAATACTATGATATAATTATGATATAATACTATGATAAACAGCGTACATTATTAAGAGGGCAGAGTTAATAATTCGCTAATTTTTAACTATGATGCACATTATTTGAGTAATATACATTTCTACGATTTCTCTTTAAAAGTTCCTTCGAAAATGTATTGTATATAATTATTAATTTTTTTTTTTTTTTATAATCAGTAATTTTGATAAATAAAATATAGTTTGTTTATATCGGTTATTTTGGAGCTAAGTAATGTACCTCTCTGGCGATACTATATTTTTAGATTAAAACAAATAAAAAATGTTTAAATTCAATCAAATATGATAAAAACGTTATTATTTTAGAATGTATTTTAGAAAAAATTCGATTGTTGAAAGATATGACTTGAGATAGATGTTTGATTACAGAATTATTAAATGATTAAAATTTTCATACATATTACCTTATGATTTAAAATTCATAGTTATAACATTAATTTGTAGTATAATTTTCATTATAATGAAGTAGTAGTCAAAATTTTAAATTCATTTAATAATTATTTGTTGAATATATTTTTTTATAATTACTATTAAAGTAGGAATTTACACAAATTGTATTACGATAACCTCGCTAATGAATATTTCTAACGAATTTTATGCTTTTCCCAATTTAAACACCGTTTTAACATTTTAACGAATCAATTGCCCTCGAATAAAAATCCTTTGCATTTATAAAAATCTTTTGGAGCATCCATTTACTTATTTTCAAATACGTAAAGTGATATTAAATCTAGATATAATTGGTCATTTCGCAGCAGAACACCCTAACTGTAAACTAAGAATAATTGTCACGTTAGAGGCATTAAGCATGAAATGCACTATTCGCATCAAATGTTAATTTGCGTAATTCTTCGACAATAGAAAGGATACACACTATTCGCATCAGTCGGATAAAGCCGTATGAGCACATTGCGTCGGCAAACACTGACTGCGATCGATGCATTGGCTGGCATTACAATTTTACAGCAATTAAATGTACAATTAATAATAAATTATGATATTACGCGCGCACATACACACGCGTATACAAATACACGAATATACACAAGCATATACAGACGCATTGGTGCAAAAAGTTTTAACGTAAGTGTTTTACATTATATTTTCGTTGTCGAATACATTATCAATACAGAGTATCAATTTAATGTGTTCTAATATTAAGAGTAACAATAAAATAAAATCTGCACAAACGGATGATTATTGTGGTTGGCTAACTCATAACTCAGGTATATAACATATGTAAAATATTGATTTTTATACTTGAGAAATATTGTTCTTAATATGAAATAAGTACGAATTGTTCATATTAATATAATTTAGCATATTATGATTTTATAAATAAAAATGTAAGTATGTAAAATACTCTCAATATGTAATTCACAATAATTGTTATTCTGTTTGCATCAATAGTAAAAAAAAAAATGTGTTAAATTATGTTATTCGTTATTAACTATGACATAAACTATATTTATAATTTTAATACAATAAAATTGTATGTGTGCGACGGTGTGATAATTCCTCTTTGCGATGTTTAAATCGAACATGAAATTGAATTTGTATATTGTAAGAGTATACTTAATATATAATTAAATGAACGCATTCACTTGTCAGAATTAGTTATAGAATTATTGCTATTCTGAAAATAAACCAATTATCATAGATTAATAGATATTTCATTGACATTACTAGACTGATTAATACCTCAAACTACTTTATCCGAATAATTAATTATTACACTGGCAATTGCAATTGTCAGTTAATCTACAAATTTCAATAATGTGTATTATTGGATACATATATATATATATAATTTGACAGTTTATTGCATATTTATAAAAAACATCACTAATTCTCGTTCATTTAATATAAGTAACAATTACTTTTGAAATTGTTTTTATCGCATATAATAAGAATAGTAGAACATTATGAACGCAGTTTGCGAATAGTTTGTTGAACAAAACAAAGCAAAATAATTTGCTGAAACTTTTAAATTGTAGAATATCCAATAACCAATATAAAATATTTAAATTATCCTTGATATTAATAAGGTAATTGTGAGCAATTGTAAACGTATAACTTTGAGCATGGAAGTTAAGCTAGTGAATTTAAATCATTTAATAATTGTCATTTAATAATAATCATTTAATACATCAATGAAAATTTAGTTTAATCAACTTTGGCTTTCAATAAATATAAAATAAGTGAGTAGCTTCAATCACTATTTTCATACGATAAAACCAACTTTTAAGTATGAATCTGAAGACAGTTGAAGTAATTAAAAAATTCCAAGTATAATTGCTTTATGATGGATAGAGTAAACATAAAAGCTAATAATTGTATACTAGTTGATTATTTATTTAGAGGAACGTTTCCAAGTTTATCAAATGTTCGTTGTCATCAAATCGATAAATCATCTGGCATGTTTGTCAATTTATAAATTTGTCATATGCGCGTACGTGAAATGATCAACCACATCAATTATTGACAAAGATGAATACTTTAAAACTAGTCGATTAAACGCCATTTTTAGTAGTAATAAAAATTATAGTAAATATGCAATTTAAGTAAAATAAATGTTTAACGATATAAATACAACAACAACAACAACAACAAAAGAGAATAAACTTTATGTTTTTTCACTCATGATTGTTATAATTATTTAATTTGTTACGTTCCTGAGTATTATAACTATACCTTTACGTAATTTTATTTTATATATTTCACTTTGATGTATGAATTTTTTTTTTTTTTTTATATACAAAGTTTATAGCGTATTTTTAATACTTAATAATAATGCATATCAATCTGTCCGCGGTTGACTTCATACATCAGCAATGCATTTTTGTTATAGTTCAAAAGCTGTGTATTGTGTAGCAAGTCAATTGATGTTTAATCCGATGTTTGTTATTTACACAAAATTGAAATCGATTAAAGCCATTTTCATTATTATTTTACCACTTTCCTAAATTTTCAAAGTATCGTCCCTTTTGTGTAATCGAAGCATTAACAGAATGTCATGTTTTATTACAAACGAATAATTTTTAACATTTTATAAATAAAGAAAAAATATTGAATTTTTCCCATTTTTTATTTAATACTTCATATTCTTTCAGATCAATTTCTCTTTTTTCTCGTTAGTATTAATTTATTGTATTTCGAAAATTGCTTTATTTATAAATTACAAGACCGGTCATATTTTGTAATTATTATAACCTTGTTAATTTTAATAATTCTTTATTTAAAACTAGCCAATGTAGAGCCGCGTATTTATTGTTCTAGAAGTTATTTGTTAATTAATTGCATATAAAGCATTATGATTGAAATAAGAACTTGAAAATTATCAATATTATATTATTTAATTGAAATACATTCACATTATTAAAGTTTGACTCTGTAATTACCATCCTATTAAAATATACAAGTTATTATAATACGAACCATTATAAATAGTTTTAACAATAAGTATCATAATTCACAATTACTTTTGAAAATAGCAATATCTACTAATTTAATTAATAATGCTTTTGTAAATGTGAAATGTACTTTTATTTCATAATTTATATTATAAAATGATGGAAAGGTGGAAATAATAAAAATACAGTAAAAAATAATAATAATGTGACAATCATAATTGTAACAATGATCATAATATTGAAATGATAAAATTTACAGTAAAATCAATTTGATAAATGATTGTAAAGGTTTGAATATTCCAAATGTTATTTAATTTTACCATATTGATAACATTGAATTATATTTTTTAATCATGAAAATGAAAATTAAAACTGATTAATTTTGTATTACATTAAACGAACGAGGAATGTAATGGTAATTGTAATTTTAATACTTGTAAATGTAATTTTAAAACTCAGAGAAATGAAAAAAAAATAATCTACGAGAATTTCAATTTTTTTTTTGTTTTTTTTTTGTTTTTTTTTTGTTTTTGTTTTTAATTTCAATTCTCTATAAACTAGGTGTTACTTAAACTCGTTTAATAGTATTTGATAGATTAGAAAGTGTAATTTGTTGAAAAATCACTCTGCTGTATGTTCCAAACGTGTAATACAATCATCATGAACTTATCCTTTAAAAAATCAATCATGGACATCGTTGAATAAGAAGGTTTTCATTAGTTTTACACTGATCGAGAGGCTTCACTTTAAAACTCGTCGACCCTCACTCGCGACGCTAGATAATCGAATGAGCACAAGATTGAAATAGAAAATCAGACAATGTCAACAAAAGAAGTAACGAAAATAAAGAAATTAAGAGATTCGGAACTAGTGCCAAACGTGAAAGCTTAACAACGAAGAAGAGAATTAGGGTGCATAGGTGTGCGCGTATATACAACATTCACGAGGTAGTAACGACAATTTATGTAGGGCTTCTAGGGCTTCCGTCCCGACAAACCAACGTCGATCGCCTTACCCGTCGATCGTTTTGCTCGGCCGCCACCTTCCTATTTGTCTATCTCTTTGCTTCTTCCTTCGTAAGCATTAGAGCCGCATTTGTGCTAACACTTCTACGAAGCATCTCTTTTATACAAAGAGAGGGTTGGAGAAATGCGCCCTTATCGATACACCAAATTACCGCCGTCGGGTAATTAGCCATCTAAACGTGTTATAGTCTTCATTGTTTCATTTTGGCTTACGTCAGCTGATTGCAAAGTTTTGCTCCGTTTAAATGAATCAACTAAAAAAAATTAAAGTCCTCAAAACTTTTAAATAACATAGCAAGCCCAACAACGTTAAAATATCATAATATTACTAAATAAACAATATTTTTAATCAATGAATTACACACACACACACACACACACACACACACACAAATTCAAATTAATAATTAAATTCATTTAATAATGCTAAAAAAACATACTATTTCTCAAATACTATGTTTTCATCGTCTTAAAACTTTAACCTTGCGTTTTACAATTAAATTGCATTTAATTGCAAGAAATTATTGATTTCACTAGCTTACAATACTCTTAAACCATATATTATAATAGCCTTAGTGACAAAAATAACGCCAATAACAACATTTGAACTCACATTGATGTCTGCATTAATAATGCTAAAAAATATTACAACTCAAGTAGCATCCACAACATTCCTTATAATATACTAACAATTAATTATATAAGAAAATATCATTTGTAAATTTTACCCTTTCCAGGCCTAAACAGTTTTAATTTGCTCTTGAATAATAGTATATGTCTTATATATGTCTATTTACGAAGAACGATTAAATTGTCGAGTAGTCGATTGTGCGATGAGAAGCTATAGATAGTGAGTGGCAACGAGCGTTTTACTCCCTCGGCTTTACCTTTTTCTCGGGCGGATTGCAAGCACTGTGAGGCTTCTGCATCAAACTAATACTTAATAGCGACTTACTTCCCTTTTTCTTGTTTTAAACCTCTGTTCTTCCGATATCTGTAGCTCGCTTTTTTGATCAGCTGATAAATCAACAAATTTTATTTGTGGCTATGAAACTTTTAAAGACGCGCTTTGCAATTGCATTAGTTGGAAAGCAAATGAAAAGTTCAGAAGTAGTAAGTTGCGAATGCATTTCAGCCACGTTCATTAGAATCGATAAATTTTTCATTCAATATTCAAGACTATGATCTATCAAATGTAAAATTGACGTGGAAATTTTACAAAAATTTATAATATGTAAAAATTATAACTGAAATCATTTAATACTTAGTGAGTGTATTAACTTAATTTCAGATTAAATATCAATTGCTTTTCAGAACTTATAAATACTTATAAAACAAACTTATATACAAATTATAAAATGCTATATTACTGATTATCACAAAAATTTCTTTTATACTTCAAAAGCGGGCATTTAAAATTGCAACTTTATATTTAAATTCATATAATTTTCATAAAAAATTTTAAAACATTTATACCACAATGTATGTATTTAGGCAATATTTTGGTTCTTACAATTTTTTATAGAATTAATATATAATTAAAGCTGCTACGTTGCCCAACTAATTCATTTTTTAAAACTTCCATTTCAAATAATTATCATTTTACTTCAATTTATTAAATTAAATTTATTTTTTACTTATTTATTTTTTCAATTTATTTAATCAATTAAATTCAAGAATGAATTTAAATAAATAGTTCATGTACTAAATGTAATTATTCATGGATATTTTATTCATTTACATACATGAAAAGATTAGTATTTATTTATTAACAAAATTATTAAAGCTGCATATATCTCTAAAAGTAGAAATATACTATTTAATTAAATTTACATTTATTATAGCAACATTTTTACATTATAACAATTCATTTAATTAAAAAAAAAAAATTAATTTATAATTAAATTAATAAATAGTGTTCAATTATATTAATTTGTTTAAATGTTTATATTTTACATAATTTCAATAAAATTATTATATGAATAAAGTTAATATAATTTGCATATGATTGAAAAACTATGGAATTATTTTATTTTTTAATTGGCTGATTATATTATTTACTGCATCATAACTGGTATTATCGAAGAGACAAGAAACAACAGCATTAATTGGATTATCAAGCATCATATAAATGGGATCTGCATAACTAATGCGAGAAATAGCAATAGAGTGAAAAAAATATTTTATTCTTTGCTGACCAACATCGGCCGATCTTGATGAATATTTACTTAAAAAAAAAAAATTTTTTTTGATCACTATCTATTATTAATAATTTGTTTTGACTTATTATTTTAATACAAATTTCACGTGTTAATAAAGTATCCATCTACTTGGAAACAACATTAAATTTTCATTTTAAATAGGATGATAACATTTGATAAGGAAATTATGATTCAAATGTGTATTCGGGTATCATGTAAGTAAGTGTTTGTAAACTTTATTATAAATGAAGTTTTCTGTGAATCGAAAACTCGACAAAAAAATAAAAAAAATTTCAAGGAGAAAATGACGAAGAAGACAGTTTCTCATCATGAGAGCACTAAAAAAAAAGTACAAGTATTATTGTACACAACATTTTTTCATTACACTACCAACGTGAGTTATATTGAATGAAAATAATTCTCCTTTACATTGACACTTTATTTATAGTTTTAATGAAATACAATTAATTTTTTAATATATGAATATCGAAAAATTATGAATAAATAATTTTCAAAATATTTTATTATTAATAAAATTATTAATAAAAGCATAAGTTATTAATAAAAATAAAAGTTATTTTCTCATTCGTATTGAAGCAAGTAATATGTAATTCTGAAAATCGAATAATATGTATGTAGTTTTGACAGCAAAAAAAATCAGAAATTTCAGTCTTCGATTGTAAGTATTTTTTTGGCAATACAACATACATAGAAAATATTCAAGATTCAAATGTTTCTACGTACGTACATAATGATTGAAAATAGGAGATGAGTTGATACTATAGTAAAACTCATATTTTTCATACTCTATCAAACAAATCACAATTTCCAAGTTATTCGTGACTTGTATTAATGTAAGTTGGATACATTAATTTTTGACAGTAGTCGCACATTGATCATGGGACATATTTTCATTAGTTTTTATTAGTTTGAATAGCGGATGGATAAATAAACATTTACTCTATTGAAAGTGTGTTTCTAGATAATAATATCATCCACAGAAAGTTTTTAATAAATTATATGAGTTACAACGCTTATTTTATTATAAAGCATTCCAGGTATATAATATATCATTTTATTATAAATCTAAATCTATAATTTCATAAATATATATAATATTAATATAAATTAATTGAAAATTAATATATATATACACTACTACTACTATATACATTTGTATTATACTATATATATTTACTTTGAGCCATTATCAATGTAAATACCTTATTTAATATACATTAAAATTAATTTAATTTGCTTAACCGATAAAGTAAATTTAATAGATTTTTAAATAGAAAAATAATTATAAAACATTCTATAGAAAGGTTGACATTTTATAAATTAACAATGCACGTAGTTGCTAGGTATGTGGCATTTATTTTTTTTATATCTGTGCAATTAGTTCCTAAAGTCATATCATCATAATCAGACAAATTGATTTTGGTATTGTCCTACAAGCTTTGATAATTCATGCTTATAATCACTGTAATCAGTAGCAAATTGATAAAGCAAACGTAAGCAGCTCACCTCGCTGAGGAAAAGATCCCGACGTGGGACTAATCCGACCAAATGAACTTGCCGGATCGTTAGATGACGGATGCTCGAGGCTCTGGAGACCATGAGGACGATTCCAGGGGAAGGGCCAAGCATTAGCGTTGCCGGGTAAAACGCTTCTCATGCCGTCGGCTGCGACTTCTACCATATCCGATTGGCCGGCCACGACGGCGTTACTCAAGGCGCTCGAGGCCGCCGCAGCCAGACGCGAATGGTGCTGGTGCTGCTGATGCTGCTGGTGTTGCTGGTGCAAATGATGTAGCGTCGAAGGGAAGAAGACACTGCCCACGCCTATACCCACTGGGTAGCGACTCGCTATCAAAGACGACATAAGGCCCAGTCTGAGAATAGAAACGTATGTCATTTGTCAGAGTAACTTTACACTGAGCTCGTAAACTTTAATAGTCTCAAAATAATTCTTAAAATTCAGTGGGATATCTTTGAAAATTTTGAAAATATCATTTTATTACCAGGTGCACAATTTGGTAATTTGTAAAGTACTCCATTGTTGCAGACAATATTGATTCGTTAAACGCAATGACAATTAATAAAACCATTACACGAACAGTTATTTATATGCTATAAGATGTAGATTTTTAATTCTTTAAAGTATAGATAATTTTAAAAGTAAATTAAATAATAAACTAATAATTAATAAACTAATGACTGAAAAGATTTTCGATAACTCGTATGGAAAATTTATCTAAATTTACAAATGGAAATATAATTATTCTCTATTACTATCTCATTTTATTATCTCAATTTCTTATCAATAAAATATGTTTGTATTATATAATTATTTAATAATATTCGTTATTAATGAAATTTCACTTTGTATGTCAACAAATCATTAAATCATTACGTATATATTTCACTAAAAATAAATTCATACGACAGTTTTTGAATTTTACATCAATTTTACAACATTTTACATTTCATATAAAAATATGACATAGAATAAACGTATTACATTCATAAGATTAAGTTTACAAGGAAAATATTTATTTAAATATATAAATATAATAAATTAAAATTATCTTTTTACAAAAGCCATTTATTTCAAGAGTCAATGAAGACATAAAATTTACGGATTATTAATTTTCATTACGAGGATTCTTCTTTATTGAAATTTAACAAACATTTTAATGTATTTAAAGATAAGCAACTTGAATCAAAATTTAATACTCATTTAAATTTCATTGTTATGATATTTACGAGAATCACGATTTTTAAAAGTCGTTGGATAAATAAAATAATTGATTTAAACAGTTAATTTTAATGCAAGTAAGATAAATTACAAATTAATATTATAAGTGAACATAACAAAATATAATTTTATAAACGTACATATTAATAATGTGAAAATAATTTATGAATACATAAAAGTGATATTAAATAATATAATATTTTAAATAAATTATTAAATTCGAACATTGCATCATATTTATAAATCATACGTCATTTATGTAAATTCAAAAAAAAATTAAATATAATTTTATAAAAATATACTTATTTGAATGTAATCTTTCCGAAATACATAACTGAATTCAAATGAGCGTATTTAATGATATATAAACAATATGCATCAATTTTACTAATTATTATTTCAATCCTAGTAGGAATAAATTTATTGTCCCAAATACTTCATAAACTAAGGAATAAAATGAGATCTGTTATTAGAATTGTCTATATTTCATTTTTATACTGAATCTGTAACATTAAATAATGAAACCAATATCGTTATGATCATTCATTATAAGTAATGAAACGTGAGTACAAAAAACTATTTCTATACTAATACATATTTTATTCTTATCCGTATAATCTAGTCTATATATAAAGATTTCTAGAAAATTGAAATTCAAACTACTTTAATCGACATTTAAAAATTGATTATAACCCAGTATTTTTGTCATTTAATCGGGGTCGGAGAGCAAATTATATCGTTGATCGAGGACAATTAAAAGTGACGATTTATTTGCCTGATTATGTAGTCAGATCACCATGAGAATCGTACTTAAAATTGCTTTAGGCATTTTACTCATCGGTTGTATGGCGGTGCGTAGACAAATTATACGTCGGAAGGGAGAAGAGGCTTCACGAAGCCTTAGAATTTTTCTGCTCCCCTCCGATGTATATATTTTCTCAATATCTCCACTATCTTCTTTCTTATCTTATTCCACCCTCTTATTTTTATACTACTAATGCGAAATATTTTACTTCACCTTTACCTTAATTTCATACTTTATTGTAAATTCAAGTACTTTAAAATATCAGCGTTTACATTATTTCATAATAAGTATTCGAATATTTTACGTGACAAGTAATTATAAAATAGTATTTTTATGTATTATAAAATTTTATTAAATAATAATAAAGGGAAAAAAATTAACAAAATCCAGAAATCTAAGGAGATTGCAATTAAATTTCATTGAATTTTAAATTTTATAAAAGTATGTTCTCTTATAATCATAGAATTTCTTTAGTCTTTTCTAAATTATCGATTTATAAAATTTAAAAATTACATCTTGCAGGTATCAAACAAGAATATCAAATAAAGATATATAATATATAATATATATAATAGTTTAACATTTATATGAGATAGCCATTAAACATATTCAATAATATAAAGAGTTGCAATAATGTATATTTCAATTAATAAATGTCATTGACATATAATTCATTGTGTGAGATCTTATTGAATGGTCAGTTATTACATACAGTTGAGTATATCATATGAATGTAGAAGAAAATAATCGTACATTGAAAAATAAATACACAGATAATTGATAATAGACGGTACTATTCTACATTAGTAAAAAAATTACAGTTTATAGAAATACAAGTAACGAGAAGAGCTTTGAATTTGAGATTTGAAGAGATTTTAATTATTCATATGACTAAAATACTGATTGCAACTGTCCAAATATTAGTTACACTCTTAAAAGCTTCGATTACACAACATATACATTGTAATGAATATCTATTTTTATAACTATAAGATCACCTACAAAATAAAATGTTAGCATATTATTATGTATATATGTATGTAGTTTATTATGTACATATAAATATGTATAACAAATACATAATGATTTATTATATCATGATAATCTAATGATGATATATTGTTCTAATAAAATTGTATAAAAATATATTACAGTATTGATATTGAATAGTTCTTCGAATACTCAATTAGAGAATTAAAAATTAAATAATGAAAAATATAAAATTACTTTTCATATTACAATAGTGTAAATGCATAATATTATAAAATGTTTTTATAGTGATCATAAATATTTTGGCCGAACTATCAAAAATTATTAATTAGAATACCATTACACTATTAACAAATTAATAATCTAATCAATATTATTGGAGCTAAATAACATGATTTAAAGAGTATTTAATACATTGCATTTTACATGAATACAAAAAGGAATCGTAGAATTGTAAAATTTGAATAATTCAAAATTACAAATATAAATAAGTTAAAACTAATTTAAATACATTATATAAAGAAACAAATATCAACGGAACGAAAGATTAATAATATGCATAAAATTAATTAGCACGTCGTAGTATTCATGAAATTTGACGACGCCATATTAGTGGATAGGATCAATGCTTTTGTCTAATCATCTATCACGGAGTTTTAAAAGTATTCGCCACAATAGAACGCACCGTATACACAAATGTATATGGTAAATAAAAATCTATAATTCAAAATCTCTCCTAAAATTTGGTAATGAACTTTTAAAAGATATTAATTGCTAAGTTTTCATCCATGTCATTTAATGCTGCTTTCACTATCAAAGAAACTTAAAAAAGATGACACTTATACTTTAAAATACTATATCTATATAGAAAATACATACATACATACATATATATATATATATATATATATATATATATAATATTACAAAGTATGTAATTAGAATATCAGATAAATTATTGTTATTTATCCATTTTAGTTATGTATTTATTTTAGTTCGTTATTTATTTTTTATAATAATTATTATTATTATTATCTATATTATCCTTTAAAAAAATGATTTATTTGACTTACATGGTTTATTGACTATGTTAAATTAATATTATAATAATTTATTAAACTTAATTGGATATCTTAATAAAACAGAGGCACAATTTTACGATAATAACAAATATTGAAATCCTTAAACTGATGGAACTAAGACGATCCTAAAAAATATATTACCAATATATTTTAAAAATAAATATATTTGTAGACATCGAAAAAACTAAAATATAGCACGAATAATAAGATTATCAAGTTACCAACGTAAGGAGTATGCAAAAGAAAAAAAAAGCGCAGCCATTATCGCGGTCGATATATAAAAAAGGTATAAGCAGACACTTATATACAAAAGAAATAGTGAGATTCGTAATATTATCTACACGCGGATATCTCATCAAAGATAAAAGAAATCCGACAAATGCCTATTTGTAAGCATAACGCACCCCTGAACTGCTGTACCAGGTATAAATAGACAAACAACTTACATTCTTAAAATACGTTCTTCATCTTTTTCTACCTTCTCGGTGTCCTGACATTCTACTGTCTCTCTCTCTCTCTCTCTCTCTCTATATATATATATATATATATATCTCTATCTATCTATCTATCTTTCTATATATGTGTTATTTCTTCTATTACGGTAATGCATGCATTTTGTACCAGATCTCGATAGAAATACTTTTACCTTTACTTTCGTCGTCGATTTTGCTTCGTCAACTTTGTTGGAACGTTGATTTTAGCTGAAGAGGGTGCTTTAACGCTTATAAGGGCTCTTTTACTGGCTGCGATCGAGTACTTACTATTAAGACACCACTGAGAAATAAAGAGCTGCTTCTGTTAAGTTTTAAGAGGGCTTTAAGTGAATGAGGCATTTATGTTTTGTGCAAAAGTGTTATTTAAATGACAAGACTCATGAAAGTGGTTACAATTTTTAGTACAGTTATTAGATAGCAGTGATGTATGATAAAAGATAATATTGTTATGTATAAATTTTGTACTTTATTAAAGAATTAATGGTAATAATGAACGATGTAATATGTAAATGTTTTCAAATTAGAAAAAATTAATTTATATGTTTGTTAAATTTTATTAAGAATCAATATCTCACTTTTACAGAAATTTTCTTATTGTTTTTCTACTTGACTATTTAATATGGATGATTGAAATAATTATTTCGATATTTCTTTATTTCCTTAAATACTGTACATATATATATATATATATATATATATATATATAGTTCTATTCATTGCAGTTATTGTAAAACATATAAATATATAATATTAAATTATTCAAAAGAAAAGTAAGACCTTAAAATTAGGTATTTAAATTTTTTATTTGTTATTTTATGCAAATAGCAATATAAAACTAGTATATATTTTCTAATGTATTTAGAATATTAATATAGTACTTATTTTTTATAAAAAATTTAATATTCTCACAAAATTTTAAAGAAAATTA